TACATTTAAAATCCCGATGTAACATATATCTCACAACACAATTTCGTAACTTATATTTCATTATTTTATTCTAGAAATGGGGTCAGAATGTTATCAAATGTTATTAAAGCATTAACACTGTTAAATAGGTTGGGACATACGTGTAGAAACAAATAACACACTTATAAAATTAGCTGGTTTGGTCTCATGCACTAACCAAGCACACCACCATTTTGTTAACGAGGTCACATGAACACAAATCCACAAATTGTCATATGACTGCATCAGGAAGTTCAGTATATGTTACTTAGGGACATCAAGAGGATAAAGTGAAGGATAAAGCCGTATAAGGACCTTTCCAGACCTTTTAAAGTGTTTGTGACACATATGTCACAATGTCATGGGTATTTTGGGCTAGAAGCTTGAAAGAGTTCCACAAAAAAGTCTTTATTAAGAGAAAGGCACAAATTGCAGTGCCTGAACCTTCTGAAACATCATTGGAGCTACAAATGGAATCGTATGATGTGGTCAGATGAGACAAAAATGTAAGACGCACACCATTGTCACATTTGGCATAAAAAGCATGCATAGGTTATTATATTGCTGCTGTCAGAAGATTTCCATTTTTGTTGTTTTTCAGTTTTTGACATAATTTGAAAATACCTGTTGCCCTTTACATTGTATGTACGTCATAAAGAATGGACCAAAAGAAACGGCCCAAAACGACTAGAAAAAAGTCTGGTTCCATTGACATACATCAAAAGTGAAGTAGGTTTTTCCTTCTCCTGTAAAGTTACCATTTTGGAGATACAAGGTTTTCTTTCCGACAACAGCGATATATTGATTTTAGCTCATTTTCATGAAGGGTGGCTGTAGCATTGATATTTGCTTGGTGGAAAGCCCACTCACAACAATACACAGTATGAAAAATCATGGTCTATAATGCATTTTGGAAAGAAACTCTTCAGACATTGATTATTAATATGATAAGCATGATAAGTGATATCAAACATTTTGATGTTTGGTAGTGTATAGTGCTGCATAATCCATTTATAATGTTCTCTATATATTTTCACTTCTTACAGTATTCCTGCAGTATTGTCCTATAATAATTCATAATTTATTTCGTTTTTTTTTATTTATTTACTTTTTTTTTGGACAGCGACAAAATACAATGTTCTAACTGCTTATGTAAGTAACATGCAATGTTGAAAGATTACGAAAGGGTTTGACCAGCTTTTGTAGTTACACCTTAAGGTGAGTAACATGAGAAGAATTTTCAACTGTACAACAAAAAAGAAGTTGAATAATAACCACTGTTAAGGACAAAGACACTTTATGTTATATATAATGGAGAGTGGACAGCTAACAAAACTTTACCTCACTTTGCACTGTTTGCAGTTTATTTTTGAAACAATGAACACATTTGCTCACTCCAAAGCAAGCAGGCAAACATTCAGATAAATATGTAAAAAAATAAAAGACAAACAAGGCTAAATATCTTTTTTTGCCTTTATTCAGATATATCCCACAATGTTCAACTGTATTTTAATAAAACACATGAAAATCATACATTAAATTAGGGATAATATACAGCACTATCAGTAGTGCTCCTTAACGCACTAAATCTTATTATTTATTCAGTGAAACGTCTTTTAAAAAGACAGGTAATTAAACTATAAATGTAGCAGTATATTCCTCAGGAATCAGGAATGCTCTTCTCACTGCCTGGACCTAACCATTACAATATTTACTTGAAAAAGTAAAAATATACACCCATTTCATTCATTGGTTAATAAGGAAAACTCATATTAATTCTATCATTATTTCATATTAATGCCCACTTAAATAACAGGATGGCACTTGCAAGCTAAGGCAAAACAATGATCAACAGTTGATTATATAATTCAAGAACGCTGTCCTGCAACAACTGCATCAGACATTAAACCAGCTCACCATGTGTGGATTATTCTGCTCTCGGATTAAACTGCAACACCAATGGTGATTCATCACTGAAAGCCTTTTTAGTCCAGATTTGGACCTAACTGGTCTTACAAGTGGTATAATGCTGTGGAGTCAATCATCAGTCATGATACATTATTACTATTGTTTAACTCCTCTCTCTCTCTCTCTCTCTCTCTCTCTCTCTATATATATATGTATTCATCAGGATTCATTAAACAAAAAGACATATCCTAGATCACTCATAGAGATTTTGATGCCTTACGCTGCAGTGCCATGTATAGATGTTCACAAGCCACTTTTTCCACGTCTGAGTCAAGTCTCAAGTCTCTAAAGTGCAAGTCTGAGTCCCCGTTTCAATTCTTTTTTAACTTGCCCTCACCCCCTTCGACTCAACACTCAGATGTGTCACACCTATGTTACATAACTCATTGGCCACCCGATGGCAGAAGGGGAGGAGGGGCAGTGAGGAGTGGCTTATTTAAAAGGAACATACCAACCCTCGGCAAGTCAGCCTCAATGGGCTAATCAGCTAGCCATGCAAACTTTGCCATGCAAAAAGTTTTTAAGAAGACATTTGAGCATAACGTACTTAATGTGTGTGAGTAACTGCTTTGCCGGCTATTAACATAGAGTAGAACCGTGGTGTATGTTCTAGATAGCCGTGTAGCCTTTAGCATGCTAATGAGACAGTTAGGAAAGTGATGAAGTTGTAGTTCAGCAGTCTAAGTATAACAGATGGAATAGTTTGTAACTCAAAGCCCAGCAATAGAATGTTATGCAAGTTTACTGCTGTAGCTTACAAACAGTTTTGCCTGCCATTTTTTGGGGGTTTGAAAAGGGAAATGCATCAGGTCACCATGACTTCTGGGCAAGTTCTACTGCTGAAGTTGACACTAGTGTTCACCTGATCCCTCCCTTGTCCCTCTGAAGGCCCAACTACCCCTTCTCTTGAGCTATTAAAGTAACCGAACAGCTCTTAAGATGGCGCTGAGATTCCCCCAAGGGAAAGTGGCAAGTCCAAGTGGACGAGGGCTTGTTAAAACCGGTATTGAAACAGCGGGGTGAGTCTTTAGCTGTCAACTTCAGTTAAGGCTTAGTTAAAAGTGAATTCCGCCAATTTTTAAACTTCCCACATAATTAAGTCATCAGGATGTAAACTGAGTAATTCAGACTGGTTTAATATAAAATGTTACAGGGAAATGTAGAGAGGCAGAATTGTTTACAGTGGTGGTGAAAGGAACCAGACATCCAATGCATTTAATCTCTCTAAAATCTATTTCACAGAAAGTTATTACACAAAATGGTCATGAATATGCCGCTATTTTATATATATGATGCTATTTTAGGATTATCAACATTACATATAAAACACAGAAGAATGGCCATATTTGTTTTGCAGACATCATGACACCCGGTTCCCATCACCACCACTGTAAAATAAAGTCAGAAAGTTTTTCTACATTTCTTATCAAACCACTCTGAATTACTTTGTTTGCATCAGCCATTGAATTATTTGGAAATTTTGAAAAATTTGCAAAATTCCTTTTTAAACAGTTGGAGCAAAATGTTTTTTTCATTAAAAAAGCGACTCATTATTTCTAGGGAATGCACTGCAAGCCAGTTAGCTATTTGCTATCCAAACTACAGGCTAATTAAGCTATCAGGGTCTTATAAAATTCAAAGTTTCCTTTAAAAAGACATGCAATTTTCAACGCAGCTCTAGTCCTCAGTCTAAACAGTTGCCAACTCAAGTCCTTATTTCTGGTGCCATGAGAGACCACTCCTTCCTTACAGCAATAGTGACCTCTAGTGGCACACAGCAGCAAAATCACTTACACAAACCCTGAGTACTGAGGTAATGTGGAGTGGGACGTGTGAACAGAATAATACATGCTACTCTTCTGCTAGTCTCTTCTAATAACTGAAACGTCATACAGTACTGCAAAACAGGACTTGCTTATGGCTGATTTTTTGCATTTTTGCACATTTTCCATGCTGAAATTGTTCCGTTCCTTTGAGGTGCAATGGTAAGTACAAATCAAAATAAGAGTGTTCTTTACTTCTTCTGTATGCAAAATAAATAAATAAATACCTAATAATAAGGTGTGATATTTACATGTGTATAAGCCAACCTTTTTTTTTTTCCCCAAAAAAATGTTTTGGGGAAAATCACATCTGCAAGATACATGACTGTGCATCTCTGCAAACAGAGATGTGACGTGCCTGGTAGTGAATGGAGGCAATCAAAAAGTAATTTTAAGGCAACTGAAGTTCCCAGAGCCAGTCAGTGTCACAAAAGCAAAGGATGGCACTTTAAAGGATGTCATTACCCCACGGACAACAAAGATAAAGATTACATTTTTCAAAAAAGTAAAAGACTAAGTTTAGAACATCACTGTGAAAAATACTCCCAGCAAAAGCAGAATTAATGGAGAAGGAATGAAAGAATACAGTATTAGCTAAAAATGCTTGGGGAAAAAAACAAACATTGAGTTCCAAAACAATAGTCTGTGGGCAGATGAATCAAAAAGTAAAACACGTGGGACGCCACAGGCCCTGCTCTTTTTGGCTAACAACCATGCAGCGTATGAAGTAGTCGTGCCATCACACTGACAATCCAAACATGTTGGGTGACGTGCCATGCAATGCTGCATCAGGACCAGGCTGGCTTGCTACGACTGGCAGATGACATACATATGTAAAATATGTGGAATAAGACATTTACCCACCCCCTTCATTTGTCCACATGCTTAATTTAGTCAGCATCAGTGCAATAGTACAAAGCTGTGACAGGATCTGAACTGTAGCTCATGCTTAAAAACCCACAAAGGTCATGAACTAAAAATAATTGTGCGTGAAGAAATGGGCAGTGCCAGAAGTCACAGTCACTCTCACAAAAGAGTGCTTACACAGTTAATAAGCAAAGTGGAAACATGGACTTTTTCCCCCCAAAATCCTTTGGTCTTTTGGTCTTACTAATTTTCATTTTTAGGTGCTGCTTCTGAACATTCAGCCACAAATGTGCAAAAATGCAAAATTGGATCAACACACACAGGTTAAACGTTTTCAAGGCATTCACATTACAGAAACTTCGTCTAAGCCTCGGTTCTGATCGAAAATTACAATCACAACATTTACCTACTCAATACTTACTCAAGAAATTTTGTCAAAGAACAGATTTGAAAAAATCTACAGTGATCACTGGTGCTGGACTCTCAATGTTTGACATGAGAGCTTTGGTTGAGGAGAACATTGCTAAAGGCTCACTTAAGTCCGTGGTTTGTTGTATACTAGAAAATCAGTTACGTCGTGCCACACATTACTGTCATGGTAGAGATAGGTCATGGAGGACTGGAGCGACGGCTGCAGGGTGTGGGGGTAGTACTCAAACAGCCAGAGCACGATGCCCCATACCAGAGTGGCAAAGAGTGGGAATGGGTCTCTTTTGGGTTGAGGGATGTAGCCTTTCTCCACAGCGAGCCGAGATAATGCAAACAGAATTCTAGACAACAAGTACATGTTTATCTGGGGAAGAGAAGATAACAGTAGCATTTAGGTCAAATACACTTAAAATAGAAGACAGACATTATGGCCCTTGGTCATCAAAGACATTTAGTATTATCATTGATATTTTCTATTTTTATTTTATTATTGATATTGTTGATAGTAATGATTTAGATGTTTGTCAAAATATTATGTTGAAACCTACATGCACTCCAATCAGACATAAATTAAAACTGATAAATAAAATGGATGGAAATCCACAAATAAAGAAACTGTCAAGGAAATGTGTTCATTTTATCATCAGACTCGCAACTTTAATAAATAAGATCCTATACGCTTTAAAAAGTATATAAGGTTTTTCTATAGCTTCACATTATTTCTCAGTTTTTATATATATTATATATATATATATATGCATGCTTCTCTCTAGAAATTAAGTCCACACACTCACTTGGCTGTTAATGTTATTATTGTCTCCGAATACAAGCCAACCCCCAATACAAGCAGCCAGAAAAGCGTGTGATTGAAGACTCTTTCCCTGAATGTGCTGCTGAAGAGCTTGCAGTCCTTTATATGTGAACACAAAGAGAGCAAGGTTCCTTGAGTGTGTATATGTGGCCTGGGCAATCGCTTTCAACTTGGACTGCAGGCTGGGAAGCAAAACAGAAAATACATATATATGAGGTAAAAGAAAAAAAACAAAAAAACATTCAAATTAGAAAATCATCTCTAAGGCATCTATGGTCAAGGCATGGTAGGTAGGTGGGTAGGTAGGTAGGTACACCCCATAAAAATTAAGAATACACACAATCAGAATTTTCCTAAATAATTTGCCTGAGCTATGCGTAACATTCAATACTCAGCCTGTTAGACCTGTATAAGACCACGTACTCAAAGGACTTAGCACCTATATGTATGAGGGCCAAATATTCAATATATTATAATACACTATAGCACTACTGTCCCAGGCTCCATTAATCTTGTGAACGTTGTTCAACCAATTACATTTCTCAAATTTCAGCAAATCAGTCATCAGAAAAGTGAATTACAAAAAAGTAAGTACTGCTGGCGCTACAGATGCTCATCAGTATGAAAACATCAATAGTGACTGACTTTGCAGATTTTGCCAACTGTGCTTATTTTATTTTATTCTTCACATTTGCACATGAGGAAATTTTAAGCATTTAAAATCCATGCACTGTTTCCATCCATTCAGTTTACTGCATGAAGCCACCTGAGATCATGACACAAATAAGATGGAAACTGAACAATCTCTACTAAAAGAGGATACAAAATTCCACAAGCTAAACTACACAAGAAGTAAGGGCAGAGTGACATGCCCTTTTGTACCATAGTGTACTTTACCTGCCACTTCTAAAAAGAAATGTCATCACTAGGGCATGGGGGGCACGGATCTTGGCACCGTATCTGTAATAAACAAAATGAATCAATAAAATGAATCAATAAATGAAAGTTAAATGTTAAGCATTCTGGGTCTGTGAGATAACACAGTTCAGGTGACGGAATAAGAATTCTTTATGAATACAATCTTTAGTAATTCTACAGAAATTTCTAAAGACTTTCTAAATCTTATTTCAGCAGGATTGCTATAAGAATCTTACAGTAAATTTGGACAATCACTCCAGTATGATGATACAGATCACTTAATACCGTACTTACTTAGAAAGTAGTATTACGGGAGATGAAAGTATTATAGATTATTATGAAAGTATTATAGCGCTAGAGAAATCTTACAGTATAATTATGGTTGTTTTTTTAAGATACAACCTGAATTTTGCCTTCAGCCGCAAGATAATAATGTCTGGTAAAATGCATGGAAAATGTGTGATCTACATTCAAATTATGTAGTTAGCTTGTTGGGACACAACTGTGTTTCGCATCGTTAAAAAAAAGTTAATTACTAACAGTTACAGAGACGCGACCTGCGCTCTGCTCCCTCTTGTTAGGCAGCTAAGCATGAAGCTTAGGTCATATTATTCTCCAGACACCAGAACGTAACTGCTGCACTATTTAAGGTGGAACGGGAAAACAAGAACAAGAAGATGGCGAATGGGAAGCCAACTGAAGCCTCGTCCACTTAGTTAACAGCTAACTAGGTTAGCACGCTGAATACTTAGCCACAACAGTGGTCAAGTCAGCAAACCAAAAAATAGTCAATCTATGAATGCAAAAACATTTCTATGTACAGACAAGACTATGAGGACACACTATATCAACTAACTTAATGCCATAAAAGCAATGAAAGAAGCCGCACTACCTGGAAAAAACACGGTAATGCAGTTAAGTGACACTCACACTGCGCCATTTCTGAGTCCTTTCAGGACAGCAAGAGCTGCTTTGTATTTCTCCTGTTGTAATAAGTTGTTGACTGTATACAGCAGAGTTTTCACCAGATCAGACCCGGCCATGTCGGACTTTGAGGGACTCTTCAGTGCTGTAGCACTAACGTACGTACAGAGTTTCACTCAAGGGTCGATCAGAAACTCTAAATGCTATTATGGTTCCGCCTTACATGCTTACATGGAAAGCAGCTCCATTCCATTAATTCCCTCACGGACCCGTTTAAGGACACTAACGAGCCGAGCGGAAGAGCAAATCAAACTCAACGTTTTACATTTTATGAGAATAAATAAATCATTTAGGGGACATGGAATTGCACGAGTTAATAAGTAATTCATTAACTCATTTATTCATCTTCCACATGCTTTTTATTTGATGCTTAGTAAGATTACATCTGAATGTGGAAGCAGTAGTAAATAACTAATAACGTATGTACTGTAGCGTGTTCTGGAAATGTTTTTCCTGATAGTTTTAGGGTGGTTCTACAGCATTTATTCGCTGGGTTTTTCTACAGAGACTATTTCGGCCTGGCTAGCCTGCTGGCTATGAGTTTATGTTTTGGCGGACAGAGAGAGAGAAGGCGGGGGGCTGTCTAGAAGAGGAAGACACGTTATTTTAAAAAGACTCTGACAGCTTTTGGTTTCATATTCCCAGAGAAATTTTCAAGAAGCTTGGTGGAATTCATTTTATGTTGAAATGTGATTTTAATTTGAAAAAAAATTACCCATTGAATTGTCCTTATTCCACCAACAGGTTTGGTTATATTGGAAAATGATCTACAGTCACAATTTCACACCTCATAATACTCCAGTCTGGAACAATAGATGCACTACCTACAGATTCAAATCACTGTTCATTTCTGAATGGTTTGAACAGGGAATATTCCAATAACTTTCTTAGGAGCTCTTTTACTAGGATACTGTACCCAAATGTTTGTTTCAGAAATTCAATTCTTCTTTTTTTCCCAAAGGATTATATATGTAAACTCAGATCTATGTATATTACGTTTCCTGTCCCCCAAAGGCTAAGGAAGTTCATTTCAAAATAATGAATGGAATATACCCATCTAAATAATTTGTGAGACAAAGGTTTAATTTCAATGAAGATGTTTGTGCATTCTGTAAAGAAGATATTGAAACAATTGAGCATTTATTTGCTTCTTGTAAGCACTCAAACACATTTTGGGATGATTTACATTATTGGTTATACCCAAAGATTGTGGGTTTAAGTGAGTTTACAAAGGCAGATATTATATATGGAATGCTTTTCTGAGATACAGATTCTGATGTAAATGTTATTTTGTTGTTAGGAAAATTTTTCATGCATAAAGTAAGGTATATGAAAACAACACCATCTTTTTACATTTTTCATAAGGAGCTCATTTACTATTTTGGTACCTTAGAGTGCATGAAAAAGAAAAATGCCAGAAAGTTACTAAAATTAATTTATGAAAATGGTTTGAAAGACACTAGGGAGTAATTGTGTCTCCCCTAACACTCCCTTTTTAAAATGTATTATTATTATTATTATTATTATTATTATTACATATATATATTTTTTATATGGTTACTTGAATTTACCGACTGCTTTGGTTTGTGTTAAGTAAACAAGTGTACACTGAACTGCCATTACTGTTTGTACATTGATTGCACAGAAAAAAAAGAAGGCTGGGGGCCAGAGAGCTGAGGCTGAGGGGCAGGTGTAAGTTTGGGTTAAGGCAAACTGTTGCAGAAAAGTTCTCTTTTTGTGCGATGTGGCTGGGGCCAACCTTGGCCTCTTAATAAAGCACAACAGCATGGGCATAAGTGGTGCCTTTTTCCGGAGCAGTAAACGCTACTAGTATACGCACCTATGCAGAATGACCAATAGCCTCTTTGCTTTGACTGCATTATCTGGATGTCAAGCAAAGTGCTCTTTTTTCGTTGCTGGCTTTGCAGGCTATGCATGAGTAACTACCTGATACATTTCCCAAGTCAAGTTTCTGATTAGTTTGGGGAAACATTATTCCCAGCTGCCTGAGCCTGGTGCCAAGTAAAGTTAGCGATCAATGTCTGCTATACAGCTGAGCTAGCAACATTATCTGGGGGAACATATCTATGTTCCCAAGGCTCTATGTTCCTGCCATACTTCCCTCTAACTCTTTATATGAAACAAACCTCAAAATACTACTTTAATAAGACATATGAAAGGGTTCCTAAGGTAATGTTGGGTTCCTGAGATCATCAGAGGTCATACAATGGACAACATGGAGCAGATTTTAAGGATGCACTCATCCTCAGCCAGCTAGCCTTATTGTCTTATTAGCTAGCCTAGCTTTGTAATGTAAACAGTTTTTTGAGAAGGCAGCACATAGCATACATATACCCAGGACCTGGGGATCATAGGGCAGTTTACTAAAAATTTCAATGAGCAAAGAAAGGGCCCTGGTCCTTAGGAACATAGCAGGGGTCACCAATCTTATCCACATGGGGCCGTTATGGCTGCAGGTTCTCATCTCAATCAGGCAGAAACACACTTGATTCCACTTGTTTAATTAGTTGGTCTCAGTCATCAAACAGTTGATCAGTTATATGATGCGCTGCTGCTTGGTTGGAATGAAAACTTGCAGGACACTGGCCCTTTGCAGATAAGCTTTGTGACCTCTGCCACATCTAGTAGAAACATGGATCACAGAACGCCATGATTAAAGCAGAATGTTGAATGTTTATGACAATGATAGTTTCAAGCTTCAATTAAGTAGGCAGTCAGCATGAAGTGAAATCGATTTAGTTCAACTTACTTTATTCATATTTAATTTAGATATTGCTGCTGAGCCTGGCCACCTAAGCTAACGGCAACAGCGGCAAGAAGAAAAGTCAAGAAGGAAAACTTTCTTATCTTTAATGTATTTTAATACATTAGATTTAAGTTTCTTACCTTTAATGTATTTTAATACATTAAGATTTCAGTACAAGTCATTTTGGATCATTCATATCACTCCATGCAATGTGACACATTACGCAAGAGCGTTTTTTAAAATGTTTTTTAAAAAGTGTAGGTATATTGATATATTTTAAGTTTGCAGTATTAAGCATATTAAATTTAAATTATTTTTGATCTGAATGAGAATTTTGTTCTGCTCTCCACTCCCTGTGAGCATGCTGACCATGAGGCTTTGTCAACCAACTTGAGGCACCACAGACACATAGCATCAGTAAAGTCTGTGCCTTTAAGACTGATGTATGTAAATGGTCTCTGTTCTGATTGGCTGCTTTGTGCTGTGATTCATTCCAAAAGCAGTCTGGGCTCAAATGCTCCTTATAACTTAATACATACATCATCTAAACCGCTTATCCTTCTGGGTCGCGAGGGGGGGGGGTGCTGGAGCCTATCCCAGCTGTCATTGGGCGGAAGGCAGGATACACCCTGGACAGGTCACCGGTCCGTCGCAGGGCAGACAGACAGACATACACATTCACACACACCTAGGGGCAATTTTAGCATGTCCAATTGGCCTGACTGCATGTCTTTGGACTGGGAGGAAACCAGAGTACCCGGAGGAAACCCACACAGACACGGGGAGAACATGCAAACTCCACACAGAAAGGACCCTGGTCGCGCGGCCGGGAATCGAACCCAGGCCCTTCTTGCTGTGAGGCGACAGCGCTACCCACTGCGCCACCATGCTGCCTATAACTTAATATAATATTTTAATATATAATATATATTATTATTTAATCATATATAATATATATACTTTTGACATGACATGGTCCCTTTAACTCTAATAATTGGTTAATTAGTTAACCACATAAAGGCATTTCAGCACATTTGAACTTTAGTTTAGGCCTAATCAGGGTCTCTTACATCAGAGAAAGTGAAAATCCAAAACTATCAGTGTCTCACTAAGGCAGTCTGTGATGTATTAACAATTCCAAATAAATTCTGATTTCACCATTACTAAGCGTATAGTAATAGGAGTGGCATATAAAGAGCATGAATGTAAGCAGTTGTTCGCTTTTTTATTTTTTCAAAATATTAAAAATTATTAAAAAATAAACAAGCTACTAAATTTTGTAAATTTAGTTTTAGCCATTAATATAGAGTGCAGTTGCAGAGAACACAAAGGGACTTGAGGTCAAACAAGGACTTGAGGACTTGACCATGATTAATTATCAAGTCTATATATCAATACAGTTGAATGCAGTTTGACATCAGAGTAGAATATTTATACGATTTTTTGGGTCAATGGGAAACAAGCATCACCAATTCTCAGAATTAAAAGACCACTAAGATATTAAGTGTCATTATTATAATTAAGATTATGTTCCAGGCGGAAACAATTTGTGTTTGCTCAATAATTTAGCGGATAAAGCCCATTTAATCCTATAACATTCTCTAAAGCCTCGCTTTGCTCTGGAAAAGTAAGGAAGACCATTATAAGATTAGTATTTAGTAATTAGGGAAAAAATCAATAATATAGACCGATAGAAAAATATAGGACGGAAATGCATCTGCATATCTCTGTATGTCTCTATATAGACCTCAGTACATGATTTTGAATGCATCAGACATCTTGTGTTCTATTAGGCAAAACTGAAATGTCAGCTAAATGTAATATAGAAAAGTACAATATGAAACAGTAACAATGCAAGTCCACAGACTGATCTGCTGTAACCTTTTCAGCCACCAGGAGTCTCTCACTTACTTCTAGACCGCCTCAAAACGGCTCAGTTTTGGAGAGATTCACAAAAGGCTGGACTATCTAGCTGACATTTTATCTTCAGTATAAAACTGTGTTGGATTTTATGTGACCCAGGGGACACAGCTAATTCTATCAAAGGTCAGAAATTTCATAAAGATACAAATTTACAGGTGAAATGTTCTGAACGTCTGAAGAGTTGGGCAACTTAGTCCTGCTGCAGCTTCACTTGTAAATCTGCCTTTGCAATTCCAGCATTAATGTTAAACTTCCATCACATCTATTAAGTCTTACCACCTTTAACAGGAACATTTGGTTCTCTATCCTGTGACAATTCACAGTCACCTTCAGTTAAAAATGGCGAACCCCATTAAGACTTCCTTACCAAGACCAGTTCTTAATATGTTTCCAAATTGGCTTCCCAAATGTATGTGACAGAGAATAGAAAGAATA